ATATTGTATCACGTCGTAAGGGTGCCGAATAATTTTTAGTGGGTGTACAAATGGTTACATACTGTACAAAACACTCACCCTGTTTGCAAATACACAGCGGCATTTGCTCCCACCGTATACATACATTTGGGTTTTCACTCGGTACACACACATATACATGCGTTATTAGTCGACACCGATATACATGCAATCTCAATCATTCCAGTCATTAAACACAGGGTTCCATACCGGTCAACACACCCATTAGACACAAGGGTTCATATGTGTCCTCTCACCCATAGGCTATAGTGATCCATATGTAATCTACATGTGTCAACGCATCCACTAGACACAAGGGTCCACATTTGTCATCCCACCCACTGGACACAGGGCTCTATGGACTCTACCTACACACATACGCGATGGACAAACAAAAATATGTATTTTCGCTCCATTAAAATATTTGTGTTAGTAAAACCTTCATTCCGGCCTGACAGCTTGTCACTGTACAGCCAACACATATTGCCTGTACATATTACCGAGATGAAGATTTATCTGTTGAAACAATGCCTTCTATTAATTAAGGTAGAATATCCTGTTTACGAGGTATTTTCTGTAGGAATGTGTCGACTGATTAATTTAGAAATATAACGCGCCGTGTGCACAAGATCATCAGGATTTACACTATTAAAAAAATGACGGAGTTCTCAGTACAGTGCACCAAATTTTCCTTCGATAAAAATATTCAAAATTCATAAGGCTGTAATGGAGGCGACTGGAATTGGTGAAATCATATACGTGCGGTGTCATCTATATGCTAATAGTACACAGTTGAACCCAGACAAGTGCTCCACCAGGTACAGAATGAAGCTCTACCCCTCACCTGTTCTTACCAATATCAAAGTGCCTCGCCGTTGGTCAATTCAAAACTTAGTAATATCTTGTTTTAATGCAGGCGGTCGCTCTGAGTTATTTTATTATCACACACACACACACACACACACACACACACACACACACACACACACACACACACACACACACACACACACACACACACACACACACACACACACACACACACACACACACACACACACACACACACACACACACACACACACACACACACACACACACACACACACACACACACACACACACACACACACACACACACACACACACACACAAACGAAATCAATTATATCTTTAATATTCCCTTGGTGAACATCCACATCAAATGCCAAGTTCCAACAAAACAGACCTCGTATTTTTTTAGGTACTGCTCAAGTAGGCCTACCTGAATTTGATATTCTTAATATAAGCCTACCTATTTTTCATAATGCTAATCTACGCCAACCTTGTTTCTTCCAATTGCTATGTATACTAAAATTACCAGTTATTTATATTGCTAAATTGGGTCTATTTTAATGGGTTCTGTTCATTACAACACTCATAAACACACACAAAGCAAGAGCATTAACTCCTGGCCGACTAATGAGACGTTCAGCAGTTGGGTATATTGTGTTCACTTAACGGTAAATGAGTTTGTATAAGGTTTATCGAAATAGAATTAATAATTACTTGCATATAATCGCTTTTATATAAATACACATTTCATTATATATAAACACAGACATGGACATACACGCACACAGGGAGCACCCACACAGGAATACACACAAGTAAACACACAAACATACATGTGTTCACGGGGCGTACTATAAAAAGTGGACATACGAGCAGAAAAAGCTGGCGGGTGCGTGTAAGCCGAGATGTTGTGGCCGTCACCATGGAAACAGGCATGATCTCTGGGACAGTATAGTTGTCAAGAGGTAAAATTACCTACCTTGTGGGGAAGAGAGAATAACACCACACTACCGCTCTCAGACAGTACCTCCAGTCACACAGGTGGACCTAGTATTAATACCTCGGTAGGAATAAGAAACACCCACTAGATATGAATTAACTCCGTGATAGTGTGTCGGAGGTTAAGAGCCGCAATGGTCAACACCGTATACCTGTAGCCGGGATCTTCAAAAAACTAGCAGGGGGAAGCACACTTGACCACCTTGGTTAGAGCGCATCCACTCATGTGACGCCCCACGAACCCCCCCCATCCTCTTTTCCTTATCTTCTTTACGTTGGGTTAAATAATAAACAAGAAGCGTCATATCAGGGGAAATTATGTTGCCATTTTAGTTCGAGCAACGATAATGAGTTTAATGTCGAGTATTCTTTGTATCTGGTTGTAAAAGAGAATAATAAGCTTTCGATAAGACATGAAGGAGCTTTTGTGTCCTGAAATAACTTGATGGGAAATTTCTGGTGAACAAAATGTGCCGTGGAGTTGACGCAAGAAGCCACGATTGGGTGAAGAGGTATTGTGGTGGAGGTCACGTGGGGAGGGACAAAAGATATTTACCTCCAACCTTTTAGATGAACAAAGAAAACACATCGTGCGTGCGCGCATGAGTAACTTTACTCATCTTTCTGTACAGGGCAATACACTGAACAGATATATACAGTACACGACAGTACCAGGTGGAATTTGATGCATCTTTCAAGTGCACCTCAACATTCAGGTAGCAGCCTGCAGCCCTAGGGCAAAATGCAAGAACTGTCGTCGTGTACACAATGTTGTGGTATTCCGGCGGCCGTAATACAATGGAAGAAAAGTTTACCTATAATTTAACCCCCGAGTACGATGGCATATCTTGAGTACGATGATTCAACACCTTGAACACGATAACTTAACCAACTGAGTACTTTAATTTAACCCCTTGAGTACGTTTATTTTAATCCCTCAATATGATGACAACCTCTTGAATAAGAAGATTTAACCCTTTGAGTACGGTAACTGGACACCTTGAGCCATTGTACTCAGGGAGTTAAACTGCTGGGTGGTATACAGTGAAGGACTCTCACTATTATCACTGGCTGATAGTGATGGAGTACTGACCAGCATTACCATGTACTACCGCAACAACTAATTACCCACCACCAAACACTCACTACCATTACTCACAATCGATCACTCACTATCACCACCAAACACATACCATCACCACCAAACACACACCATCACCACCAAACACTCACCATCACCACCAAACACACACCATCACCACCAAACACACACCATCACCACCAAACACTCACCATTACTACCAATCACTCATTAACACCACCAATTACTCACCATCACCAATCATCACTACCGTAACACTGACCTTCACCATATTCTAACATGACAGACGTAGCCAGGTAATTAAAAGGTCTGATTCCAGCATTAGGGCAAAGAACGTCAAAGGAACAGGTGTAATTAGTAGTTTCTTTTAATCTAATTACCTTGGTACTAATTAGACTCAAATGCAAATTATTTTTACATTTATATCTTTCCACTTTCAATGTCGATATAGATGGCAAAAAATGGATTGGTTTATTAGTGGAATCTGTCCATTACTTTCGCTTCTCACCTACTCTTGTGTATACGAAGCTCAGTAGTCAGAGTAGACATTCAACCTCATACATAACAGTAGATCATATATGTACACAATGCATCATCGAGGTAAACAAAGAAACACCGACAAACATTTCAATCGCTGATATAAACATTTAGCAAAACATTTATTAAAGTGATTATATAAATATTTAACCACGGAAGTTAACATCCAAGAATTACCCCTAAAACATCCCATCCCGGACGTAAATATTCAATCACCAATACACACAGTGAAGGTAATACCCAAGCACGGAGGAGGAATTACCCTCGTAGCGTCGTAATTAATGAACGAATTCCATTTTGATGATGAAACAAAATAACAAGAGCCGATACAGTAAATACTTTGAACCCATTGCTACTGGGGAAGGGGGAGAGGGGGAAGGGGGAGAGGGGGATGGAGGAAGTGTGGAGGGGGAAGGGGGAGAAGCGAATGCCACCACTACAATAAACGCTTTAATTCCATTGTTACAGGGAGACAAATGAACGGCGGTAAACTCCACGTGATCGGGTCGGACATTACCTGTGTTTTGGGAGAGCATTGTTGCACATAACTAATTAATCAGGACTAGGGTCTGCCGCCCACCTGCCACCGCCACCCAGTAGCCAGTCAGCTTCCCTTCCCGACAACAACCACCACCATCACACACACCTCACCCCTCCAATTACAACCTCTCGTCAGCGTTTATTTAACTCTTTTTTTCTGTTTGTGGGGGAGGTTGAAATTCTCTAACTAAAAAAAAATGATTGAAGTGTATTTATTTTTGTTTATTTTTTAATACCAGTATTTGTTACATTTTGTATATACACGTATTAATACACCACAAAGATATATACTGTACATGTGGAATCATATATTCAAACATACATACACTTTCACCATAACGGGAGGAGTGTCAGTTTATGTTAGGATTAAAAGCGAAAAAATTATTAGTACCTGTACTGTAATAAACAATCACTGTGTGTGTGTATATATATATATATATATATATATATATATATATATATATATATATATATATATATATATATATATATATATATATATATATATATATATATATATCAGTCTGTAATTAGTACATGGTGATTAGTTTCAGTGATAACCTGTGAGTGTCACTCCCAGGGGAACACCGCTCTACGTCACGGGAAATCATTCTTGCTTTTTAATTTAATTCTGAAATTAATGAAGTGAAAAGCTTAAAAATCAGCTTTTGATTAAGCATTGATGAAAATATGGGAACAGTACAGTAAATATTCCTCCTCACTCTGCAGCTTGAGAAAATAATAACTGCTATTAATTACAACCCTTGAGATGACGCGGCAGTACAGAAGTTCCATTGTTTTCCCCGTTTTCCCTTTTATAACTTTGTGATTTCCATACATTGACAATAAGAAGCTTTTGTTTCAACAGCTTGATGGTGAGGCGTTATCTTTTATATTTAAAGACCAGCCATGGAAACTACATTAGATGTGTGTGAAAGGCAACATGTGTTAAGGGAAGAGGGCATGAGGACTAGGTACCATGATAACTGGGTGCTGGAAGGAACTGTTGCTGGGTGCTGGAAGGAACTGTTGCTGGAAGGAACTGTTGCTGGGTGCTGGAAGGAGCTATTACTGGGTGCTGGAAGGAGCTATTACTGGGTGCTGGAAGGAACTGTTGCTGGGTGCTGGAAGGAACTGTTGCTCGGTGCTGGAAGGAGCTATTACTGGGTGCTGGAAGGAACTGTTGCTGGGTGCTGGAAGGAACTGTTGCTGGGTGCTGGAAGGAGCTACTGTTGCTGGGTGCTGGAAGGAACTGTTGCTGCTGTTTGGGTGCTGGAAGGAACTGTTGCTGGGTGCTGGAAGGAGTGGGTGCTGAAGGAACCACTGTTGTTGGGTGCTGGAAGGAGCTATTACTGGGTGCTGGAAGGAACTGTTGCTGGAAGGAAATGTTGCTCGGTGCTGAAGGAGCTATTACTGGTGCTGGAAGGAACTGTTGCTGGGTGCTGAAGGAACTGTTGCTGGGTGCTGGAAGGAACTGTTGTTGGGTGCTGAAGGAACTGTTGCTGGGTGCTGGAAGGAGCTATTACTGGGTGCTGGAAGGAGACTGGGTGCTGGAGGAACTGTTGTTGGGTGCTGAAGGAGTGGGTGCTGGAAGGAACTGTTGCTGGGTGCTGAAGGAGCTTATTAGTTGGAAGAACTGTTGGGTGCTGGAAGGGAGCTGGAAGGAACTGTTGCTGGGTGCTGGTTGAACTGTTGCTGGAAGGAACTGTTGCTGGGTGCTGGAAGGAGCTATTACTGGGTGCTGGAAGGAGCTGGTGCTGGAAGGAACTGGTTGCTGGTGTTGAAGGAGCTGGGTGCTGGAAGGAACTGTTGTTGGGTGCTGGAAGGAGCTATTACTGGGTGCTGGAAGGAACTGTTGCTGGGTGCTGGAAGGAACTGTTGCTGGGTGCTGGAAGGAGCTATTATTGCTGGAAGGAACTGTTGCTGGAAGGAACTGTTGCTGCTGGTGCTGGAAGGAGCTATTACTGGGTGCTGGAAGGAACTGTTGCTGGGTGCTGGAAGGAACTGTTGCTGGGTGCTGGAAGGAGCTATTACTGGGTGCTGGAAGGAACTGTTGCTGGGTGCTGGAAGGAACTGTTGCTGGGTGCTGGAAGGAACTGTTGCTGGGTGCTGGAAGGAACTGTTGCTCGGTGCAACTGATGCTGGGTGCTGTTAGGAGCTATTACTGGGTGCTGGCAGGAACTGAAGCTGTGTGCTGGAAGACTTAGAGAAGCTCTCCACTAAAACCCATTGCCGAGTCCTCGTAATTTCTTGAGTTTTTGTACGACTTTCAGGTAATTGGTCCAATTACTAAGTTAATTTTCCTCTCCATGTTTGTGTTAAATTAATTGGCCGCAGAGTAACCAGTTAACAGTTATTAGAGTGTAGACCGTATTAAACCATTTAATATTAGAGGTTGGGTAAATTTTGACGGAGAATTTATATCGAGGGAAAACTTTAATAATATACGACAACTAGTTTATCTTTCTCATTCTCCACAACACATACGACGACGACAAACGTTGTTATTACGATCAGGAAATGACACAATATTATACAATCTATATTTATGCCTTTATCGCAGAATACTTTAATTAAACAAAATAATGGTAAAACTTGTTTTTTCAAGTGTACGTTTTTCGTATACCAATATCACCAAAAATTGTGTGTGTGTGTGTGACTACATACAGGTACAAACACACACATATTCACACTGATGTGAATTACTCGTACCAAATTAAGAAGCGAGATGCGAACGAGATTTCATATTAGGTATGAAATTACACAGTATTTTCCCTGGTGAACAACACACTTCTTCCTTGTGGCTGAGGCCCATAAGGGTTGAACTCGAGGCCAGCGTTAGCAGCTTGTTTACAAACGTTCCGAGCCGAAGCCGTGGCTATGTCTGGTGCCGCTCTCTGGTTGCCTAGGTAACGCCAGTGGCCGCTGGGGCTTGCCCTCTGCCTCACCCTGTCCAACAAAGATACCTGGGATAGGGCGGACCATCACACCTGGTGCAGGGACACACTCACCTGATGAGCCACGTACAACCAGCTAACCTGGTGTAGGGCCACGCTAACTTGGTGCAGGGCCACGCTAACTTGGTGCAGGGCCACGCTAACTTGGTGCAGGGCCACGCTAACTTGGTGCAGGGCCACGCTAACTTGGTGTAAGGCCACGTTCATCCAGTGAAGGACCACGATCACCTGGTGCAGAGCAACGTTCACCTGGTGCAGAGCAACGTTCACCTGGTGCAGAGCCACGTTCATCTAATGAAGGACCACGTTCACCTGATATACACAACAATAACGCTTACAAGTATATCCTAACCATCTGCTCAGTCACAGTTACCGAGTATATCTTCAGACCAAATTTACCGGAAAGCCTCTCGTTACTGCCCAAGATTACCTGGCGTATGCTATAAGGATCCCTGACACTGTTTACCTGTAAGACCTTAGCCAACCGACCCGCACGACCTACATACTCGTCCAATAAACCTGTTTCAGAGCTGAGGTTAGATCAATATACTAAAGGCTCCCCTGTGCCTACCTTTACTTCATAACAATGATGAGATTTTTAAACGGCACTCCGAGTTTACGTTTACCTCCATAAGGCTTCCATTAAGTTTGATTCTCTATGGCTTCCAGTTACCTTGATAAGACTTCCCTTTGCACACTCAGGTGTGTGTTTCAGGGTTCTTAATTGAAGGTTATGGAGTCGTGGAAATTTTAATGAAATTTTCATGTTTTCTTTCCGCTTCTTCTTTGTCATTTACGATTTCAAAGAATTATATTTTTCTCCATTCCTCAGGAAGGTATAATCGACTTTTAATTATATCATCTAATGAAGGAATATAAACATTAACAAAAATAGGATCCATCTATAACCAGTTATATTTATCCCATTAAGATTGTAGGGAAATTAAGATTCCTTTCTATTACAGATTCATAGTAATGTTGTGTTTTATTCAATACAAACATCAGAAACTAAAATCATAATGACTTTAACCCTGAGAGTAAGTGTCAGGAGGTGAACACATCAGCGTCACCTCATATTGAGGGAATGGGAAGTGAAAGTTTGGTCCAGCAGTAAATAATTCAGGAGGTGGACGGTAGATGGGAGAGGGCAGACCAGGGATGAATTGATAGGATATGGGGTGAAGGCCGCACTAGAAATGAGGGGTAAAGATATCCAGGAATCATCAGTGAGCAGATCTGAGGGGAGAACACAGCCTCGAGTGATATTTGGGGAGGGATGTGATGCAGGTGGCTGATGTGAAGTGAGACAAGAGGTGGTGCTGGCTGATGTGAAGCGAGACAAGAGGTGATGCTGGCTGATGTGAAGTGAGACAAGAGGTGGTGTTGGCTGATGTGAAGTGAGACAAGAGGTGGTGCTGGCTGATGTGAAGTGAGACAAGAGGTGATGCTGGCTGATGTGAAGTGAGACAAGAGGTGATGCTGGCTGATGTGAAGTGAGACAAGAGGTGATGCTGGCTGATGTGAAGTGACAAGAGGTGGTGCTGGCTGATGTGAAGTGACTAGAGATGATGGTGTTTTTTTTTTTTCCAGGACAGACAACACGTTACTGGAACCTTTCTAGTATAGTGTTATATCCAAAGGTTAAACTTAAGCTTTATACACTGTCTAGTTAATTGTTTCCTGGAAAAAAAATTAAAACTCACCTGGGTGGAAACTGATAGCTAACCAGTTTTGAGACCAGACCAACTGTGTCACGGATGCAACAGGTAACAGTTTAGTTCTAGTTAATCAACGAAGGTAAGAACGTCGATAATAATAACAGTGGTGGTGGTGGGTAAGTGGTGGTGGTGGTGTGTGGTGGGTTGTAGTGGTGGTGGGTGGTGGTGTTGTAGTGTTGGTGGTGGTGGTTGTAGTGTTGGTGGTGGTGGTGGTGGTGGGTGGTGGTGGCAGGTTGGTGGTGGTGGTTGGTTGGTGGTGGTGGTGGCGTTGGTGGTGGTGGTGGTTGTGGCGGTGGTGGGTGGTGGTGGTGGTTGTGGTTGGTGGTGGTTGTGGTGTGGTGGTGGTGGTTGTAGCGTGGTGGTGGTGGTGGTTGTAGCGTTGGTGGTGGTGGCTGTAGCGTTGGTGGGTGGTGGTGGTGGTTGTAGCGTTGGTGGTGGTGGTTGTAGCGTGGTGGTGGTGGTGGTTGTTGGTGGTGGTGGCTGTGCGTGGTGGTGGTGGTTGTAGCGCTGGTGGTGGTGGTGGTGGTGTGCGTTGGTGGTGGTGGTTGTAGCGTTGGTGGTGGTGGAGCGTGGTGGTGGTGGTGGTGGCTGTAGCGTTGGTGGTGGTGGTGGCGTTGTAGCGTTGGTGGTGGTGGTGGTGGTAGCGTTGTGGTGGTGGTGGTGGTAGCGTTGGTGGTAGCTGTAGCGGTGGTGGTGGTGGTGGTGGTGGTGGTGGTGGTAGCGTGGTGGTGGTGGTGGTGGTTGTAGCGTTGGTGGTGGTGGTGGTTGTAGCTGTTGGTGGTGTTGGTGGTGGTGGTGGTGGTGGTGGTGGTTGTAGCGTGGTGGTGGTGGTGGTGGTTGGTAGCGTTGGTGGTGGTGGTTGGTGGTTGGTGGTTGTAGCGTTGGCGGTTGTAGCGTTGGTGGTGGTGGCTGTAGCGTTGGTGTAGCGTTGGTGGTGTGGTTGGTGGTGATGGTTGTAGCGTTGGTGGTGATGGTTGTAGTGTTGGTGGTGATGATGGTTGTAGTGTTGGTGGTGATGGTTGTAGTGTTGGTGGTGATGGTTGTAGTGTTGGTGGTGATGGTTGTAATGTTAGTGGTGATGGTTGTAATGTTAGTGGTGATGGTTGTAGTGTTGGTGGTGATGGTTGTAATGTTAGTGGTGATGGTTGTAGTGTTGGTGGTGATGGTAGTTGCGTTGGTGATGCAGACCGTCATAGTAAAGATAAAAAGTTTCTTTATAATGTCGTTTTCCCCCTCTAAATCACCTATTTAAACCCCCTTTTCCATTCCCTTTCACTAAATTACAGTCGTATAATATTTTCTGTCTGACTTTCATTAATACAGAACTCTCCCTCCCTCTTACAGTGAGTTATATAATAAGTTCGCCAGGATCACTTTGTATGTAATTAGAAAATAACTCTCCCTCAACGTTCAAACATTATTCCGCCTTGGTTATATCACGAAGCTTTACAGTTAATTCATTTTTCATCTTCGACAATAATGACACGAATTAAAAAAATATTCTGATAATCGTTCGTTTATAATTCAGTGACATTAACAATATAACACTCAACTAATTCACTTTTTTCTCCAAACATCATCATCACCACCGGCGTTAATAAAATACCAGGTTTTATGAAGCAACATTCTGCAATTGCAAAATCAGTTGGCAATTTAATATGTCAATACTGAAAGGCGACAAAATTATTGAACATTACTCCCCCCAAAAAGTTAATTAGGAGGTTTGCTTAATATATGTTAGTAGGGTATATGTAGTTATTGAGAGCTAATGACCGTATTATTGTTTATTTTCAATATATAAACAAATAAAATATTTTTCCTTATATAAAAGATGACCAAAATAAAACATGAAAAGAATATAATGAAAAAAAAAATAAAATAAAAACAAAACCAAATAAATATTGTAATAAATCAATAAAACAACAACAATAATAATAATAATAATAATGACAATAATATTAATACTACTACTACTAATAAAATAATAATAATAAACAAATAAATAAAAATATACGAATAAAAAAAAAGTAAAACAATTATAACTGAATGAATAGAAACTTGGCGAGGAAAATAAAAGAAAAAAAAACTTTATCCGTAAAGATCTTAATTAAATAATATATGATACGACATTTTCAATCAACTGTTAATAAAAAAATGTTGATGTTACGATGATTTTTGGTCGCACTAGATAATAACGCTGACGGTTTTATTGGAAAAATTCACCGGGAGACATTAACTAGGCGAATATTTTATGATGAATTGAGAAGTTTACATAAGATCTCTCTCTCTCTCACCCCAGCTGGAGGAGTAGTTTCATCACGCAGCAGCAAGCAGTAGTAGCAGCAGGTCCGTCATGACAGATCGACAGCACTGCCAAAATGATAAGTTGCAGCAACTATTGCTGCAGGTACCAGAAAATTTGACAAAAAAGTAGCTATAGCGCAGGAGGTGGGCGCCTCGAACTGGTTAACTACGTTACCAATAAGGGCAAATAGTTTCAGTCTTAATAAACAAGAATTTACAGATGCCATTGCTCTAAGGTAAGGTCGGCCAGTAGAAGGTTTGCCCTCCCAATGCGTGTGTGGCTCTTCCTATGATGGCGATCACGCCATGGTGTGCAAGAAGGGGGGGACTTCATATGCATGAGGCATGACGAGGTAAGGGATCTCACAACAAATATGTTGAAGGAAACCTGCCGGGATGTCATGGTAGAACCGACCCTCCTTCCATTGGATGGTGAGATCTTCCAACACAGGACTTCAAACACATCTAACGAAGCCCGTGTGGACGTCAGTACTCGAGGATTCTGGACGCGGGACAGCGAGCTTTCTCGACATCAGATTTTTTATCCCATGGCCGCATGTCACCGTAACCTAGCTCTCTTCGATGCTGCACAGGAGGAAACGAAACCACAAGAGAAGGCATATGGGGAGAATTCAAAACGTTGATCAAGGCAGCTTCACTCCTCTAGTGTTCACAACCTCTGGTGGGATGGGACCAAGTGCAAGATGTTTCTACGCCAGACTCGCGGAGTTGATCTCCGAACAGAAGCAGCAGCCCAGAAATTATGTTACAGCCTGGATGAGATGTCGACTGTCTTCCTCTCTCTCCTTCGGTCGGCTTTGCTCTGCCTCAGGGGAACGAGAGCTTCTGCCCCAACTCCGACAACTGCTGCAGATATTAACTATGAGGCTACTGTCACTGAATGCCGCATAGATCTGCGGCTCATCTAATTTAACACAGATAGCATAGCTACTTATGTACTAGGATATTTAATATTAAGGTAATTAAAGGGTGGCGAAGGTGTGGCTATTGGGGGAGGCTGGAGGCCACGGTAAAAAAAAAAAAGTAGTAGTAGTAGTAGTAGTAACAGCATAAGTCTACTGAAATGGTGCAATAGTCTAGTCCAAGTTGCCAAGAAACCAATTTGTCAGGACGAGCTTCGACAACAGGGGTCAGCTACCAAAGGGGGTATACTAGACGCCGAGGTACTTGATATCACCGAGCACTGAGGGGGAATATTCACACTCTATACAGAAAATATATATATAGTGTATGCATGTATGTATGTATGTTGTGTATGCATGTATATGTGTGTGTATGTATGTGTGTGTGTGTATGTATGTATGTATGTATGTATGTATGTATGTATGTATGTATGTATGTATGTATGTATGTGTGTGTGTGTGTGTGTGTGTGTGTGTGTGTATGTATGTTGTGTATGCATGTATGTATGTATGTATGAATGTATGTTGTGTATGCATGTATATGTGTGTGTGTGTGTATGTATGTATGCATGTATATGTATGTGTATGTATGTATGTATGTATGCATGTATGTATGTATGTATGTTTGTGTGTGTGTGTGTGTCTATGTATGTATGTATGTATGTATGTATGTATGTATGTATGTGT